AAAAAAAAAAAAAAAAAAAACCAGACCTTAAAACATGTCCCTTACAAATCATGTTTTTCCACCATCTTATTTTTACTGTGAGATACAAATCTATACATTAAAAAAAGAAGATTTTGCATATTCATAAATTTATGCTTTTAGGCGATAAATGAGATTCTTATGACTAAGGTGAAATATTTTGCAAAAGAGATGGAAGTTCTCAACCCCCATGCACACCTTTCATGGCGTTTAAAAGTGAGATAAAAAGGTAACCTGGGTAGTTGTCAAGGGGTCAGAACCTTATTTTCACTTTATCTTTTAGAAAACATTCAATTTGGGGGATCTCGGTTTAATGATTACCCAGTAACTTAGTACCCAGTTTTTCTTTCCTAAGAGGTAGAACTTCCTCATTCTCTGAGAGAGACACTGGGAGCTATCACGACGACCAGCTTACTCTACTACTCTGTTGCCCTTCCTTGGGTTCCACGTGGTTGGATTCTCATTTCCTCCTAGGAGACTGAGCACCGGCACAAATCTCATAACAGGCTGTCTGCTTTTCTTTTTAAAGGTCGGAGACGACAGAATTGGACCAAGGAAATTCATAACTTTCTGGTATGTAATTGAAAACTCTTAAACCAAATTCTCTCTCTCAGGGGTATTTGTGACCCTAAGGGCCTGAACTCTTAATTTGTGAACCAGAGCCTAGACGTGTCTAACCCTAGGCTAGGATTTACGCAGAAGGACGTTAATAGTATTGATACATTACCAACTATACTGGGTCCTCTGGAGAGTGCTTTTCAGGGGAGGGGGTTGTTTATTAAAATTATTTATTTATTTACTTCATGAATTGACCCCCCCCCAGGGTAAGGAACATACCATAACTATCAAAGGGCCACCGAACTATAATGGTGTGAGGAATCTATTTTGTAAGCAACTGTGTGTGTTGACGCCCCAATATAACTTGAATGTTCTATAAGTGGGGCCCTTACTGATCTGAACTTATTAATAACTATAATAAAATATTTCTACTTAATAATTATACTAGAAAAGTAAAATAATCTTAAGATGTTGTACCTCTCAAGTTTATCCCTAACGATCTAGGCAAGCCTGGGGTTCTGTAAATATGTGTGTAATTCTGCTTGTTATTCCTTTTATTTTCTGTTTATAAAGTGATTTTAAGACAATTATGTATCTTAGCTCCTCACTGGGATATCCATCTCTTCTTTGATTTAATTCTTTTTAAACATAAAACATAATGCTAAAAACTTTCTTGGGGATTCACAGGACATGTTGTTTTCCCTGCTGTCTATCAAAGGGACATGTCTTTGTGACTCTATGGATGTAACTGACATTGTAGTAATTTTTCCCAAAGTCTTATCATATTAGTTTAAATGCTATTATTTTTCTTTGACCCAGGGGGTACTCATTATTTTGTTTTGCAGTTTTGTCCAGGGCCGGGCTTGAACCCGCCACCCCTGGTATATGCGGCTGGCACCCTACTCCTTGAGCCACAGGCACGGCTCATTACTTTCCACAGTGTTCACTTTCTACCATTTTCAATTATGTTAAACCGTCTTCGAAACATTGTTCCTCTTAATCCATTAGTCACTGGGGTGCCTTTTCGTGACTTGCCCTTCTCTTTTTCCTCCTGTAGTTATGAAAATCCAGCATCCTGGTTGTCCAACTCATTCACATCCCAATTAGTTCTGGTGAGTACCTTAGCCATTCAGATGTCTTTGACTATACAGATTCCTATGTTTCCGCAAGAGCACAAAAGCTGCACATTGACTGCTGAGCTAGCCGAGGTGCCCACATGGCTGTCCGTGGCAGAGAGAAGGTTTTATTTACCACGAAAGTCGATGTTTTGTTGAGGAATTTTAAGGGATGCTTTTCACTGGTGGTTCTCAGGACTGGTTGCCTATGGAATTGCCCCGAATGAGTGTGTTTACGGACTGCTGTGGTTCCACCCAAAGCCAACATGAAGGCAACTCGGGTTCTTTGCTGCTTCCCACTTAAAATGCCATTGTGGTGTCACCGCTGTGAATCTTCAGGCCCCTTGCCCCAGCCGCCTCTCAGCCTCTCACACAACCCTTTCTGCGCACGGCAGACACTTTCTGGATCTTGGACTTGATGGCAGAGGGGCTTGGTGTGAGATTTTTCTAGCAACGCCCAATGTTCTCTTAAGAGAAATCCTTGAACCAGCTACTAGGATAACAGTGTCTTCCTCCCTGATGTAAAAGTATGTTACCAAGTTTCATCTTTATTATTGTCATTAAGCAGTGGTGAGGGCATCTTGCTTACCTAGTCACTCTGATATACTCAGATTACAGGCACAGTTCCTAGAGTGTGTGTGGTGGGAACGAACGTTCATATTTGGTTTTCATTCACATGGGCCTAAATTTCTGGCCATGTGATTATTTTAAGTTCTTCACAGATTTTTTTTTTCATTCACTGTGTCTCACTTTGTCGCTCTGGGTAGCATGCTGTAGTGTCACAGCTCACAGCAACTTCAGATTCTTCAGCTCAAGCAATCCTCTTGCCTCAGCCTCCCAAGTAGCTGAGATTACAGGCATCTGCCACAATGCCCAACTATTTTTAGAGACAGGGTCTTGCTCTAGTTTAGGCTGGTTTCCAACCTGTGAGCGCAGGCAATCTGCCCTCCTCGGCCTCCCAGAGTGCTGGGATTATAGGAGTGAGCCAGCAGCACAGAATTCTTAAGTACAAAATACTTGTCTAATTATTTTGACATATTTCTGTTGGACAGTAAATATTGTAAAGTTTTATGTTAATGCATTCTGAACATAAAGCTATATTTTTCCTATTATTTTTTACTTGCTGTGCTTATGAAAGTTATGTTCTAAGAACTACTTAATTTTGATTTATGTTACTAAGCGATTCAGGGTGTCAATAGATATTTTTCCAGAACAGAAACATGTGGGGCCAAGCCTCATTCCTCTAATTGAGAAACTACTCAGACTCCCAGGATTTCTTGGCTTATTTTAAAACAAATTCTATATTAAAATCTTGTGTGCTGACAGCAAAGAAATAGATGACCCATAGGTTTTCTTCTTACCGGCTCACAGGGTTTTGTTATTTTTTTTGCACAAAACATAACAGTGTGGACAGGAATGATGACAACTGGATTACAAAGGACTGGCGAGTTGAAAGGAGGCTTGTATGGAGCTCATTCTTTGAAAATGGAATCTGCAATCTTTTCAAATTTTTTAGAGAGGAGGTTAACATTTGAGCTACTATTTTCCTGGTTAATAATATTAATGCTTTTAAAATTTTTCTTTCATAACTGTAGATATAGCTTTCTTTCTTTCTTTGAGACAGAGTCTCAAGCTGTCACCCTGGGTAGAGTGCCCTGGCATCACAGCTCACAGCAACTTCCAACTCTTGGGCTTACGTGATTCTCTTGCCTCAGCCTCCCAAGTAGCTGGGACCACAGGTGCCCAGCTGTTGGTTGTACTTGTCATTGTTGTTTCGCAGGCCCGGGCTGGACTTGAACTCTTTACCTCTGTTGTATGTGGCCGGTGCCTTAGCTGCTTGAGCTACAGGCACCGAGTCTATATATAGCTTTCTAAGGGGAAGAACCTAATTCCAAGAATGAAGAGGTATTAGCTGAAAAATTGCAAAATCCTCTAAGGTTATTTCCACAAATGAACAAGACATTTTCCTAGAAAATCTTGCACATTTATTGTTTGTAGACAGTGAAGGAAAGGGAGGAGAGGAACAGGCTTACCCAGGGACAAAGGCTTTCTTGTTGCCAGGTGTTTTCATTTTGCCTTAGTTCATTATCCTCGGTAGAGATGCCAGCGTCTTCCCTAATAAAATCACCTTCCAACCAAAATGTTAAAAAGGTATCTACCTACCTTGGGTATATGTCAGTTTATACAGAAAAAATTTAAACAAAACTTACGGAGGTTTAGAAAAGAGTTTTGTTAATAATTCATGAGAAACAAGGCATCCTTAACTTGGCTGCGTTAGGCTAAGTGCCTACAACAGCAAACTTCTTTCTCTTATTCCCCTACACGTTCAGTGGAGGTTGGCGGGGAGGGCAAGGCCCCTCTACTCCACACAGTCATTCAGGGACGCAAGCTAATGGAAGCTTTACCACCCAGGGCACTGCCCTGTCAATAGGTAGCTTTAGGGTTTGCCAGGCCAGGAAGTGACAGGCGTCACCTCTGCCCAGACCCCAGTGGCCAGAACCATTCCGATGGCCTCTTCTAACTGTGAGGGGTGGGAGGTCTTCCTGGGGTACCAGGGAAGGGAGGAGAATTAAATACAGAAAGCACTAGGAATTTCTTCTTTGATGAAATTTGCTGTAAATTTCATCAATTTTTTGCCGTCAGTATCTACAGGCAACAAGTTTTCTTCCTAAATCAGTCATACTTACAGTTCCTCAGGTTTTACTAGGTAGGTAAGTTGTTTTAATATTTTTAAAACAACTTCACAGATTTTACTTACCGACTTCAGACAAGAATGAACCTAACAAGGATTATTGAGAAGGAATTTGTGAAAGTATAGTTATAATCACAATGGAAAAATGTCTCAGCTACTTGGGAGCCTGAGGCAAGAGAATCGCTTAAGCCCAAGAGTTTGAGGTTGCTGTGAGCTGTGACTCCACAGCACTCTACTGAGGGTGACATAGTGGGGGAAAAAGAATAATGTCTAGTAATATTTTAGCCCTCATATGTTTGTAGATTTTATTTGTATCGTAAATAGTACTTAGTTTTTTTCCCCTTTCAATAAAACCATTATTTGAAATTAAGAGTAACTCCCAATACAGCGAGGATCGACTGTAAAATCATTTCAGGAGATACCAAACTGAGAAAATGAAACTGTATTTGACCAGTTTCAGTAGATTGCCTGTAATTTATTAGTACATTCTTTTTGTAAATTATGTGCTCAGCTTTTTCACATAGGGCACCTAAGGAATAATAAAAAAAAACACGTCTAAAAATGTGTTTATTTTGCTCTCACACTTGATTGTGTTTGACTGGATCTAGAACTTTATGCACAAATTTGCCTTCACTCAGAAATTCAAAGGTGTTGTCCCCACGTCCTTCAGCACCCCATGCTGCCCATGAGAAATTTGACATCATTCTTTGCTTGTTTCCTTATAGATGGTACCTGCCCATCCTATTGGTCAACTTTTAGGATTTCCCTTATCTCTCTGTAATTCTGAACATTGACAGGAGGTATCAGGTGCACATTTTAAAGAGTATGCCTGGGCGAACGTGTTGTGGCATAGATTTTTCTTCCAACCCTCTGGGCTCTGCTTCTTGATGTTTTGGCTTCATTCTACATCTAGTCTCCCACCAGGTCACCCAAAGGCCACTGCCAATGCCAGGTGTGCGGTGCATTCCCAGCTAACAGTCCAGGAAAAAAGGACAAGTCTCTTTCCCAGCATTTCAGCAGAATTTCCAGAGTAGCTTGCATTAGTTAGTTCATGTCCTCTTTCCGAGTTGGTTGTCGTGGTGAAGGGGATGAGCAGGGTGCTCCGCGTACTCCTGACCACATGCACCGCTAGTGCTCTATCTGCGTGGTCCATCCTCCCCTGACTCCTCACCCATCTCCTCCCACGTGCACACGGCCTCAGCCTTGCTGGCCACCTTGCTGTGTCTTACCCAAGCCACACACTCTCCAACCCCAGCTCGGGGCCTTCACTCTGACGTTCTCTGGACAAAGTCGCCCCCTGCAGACCCATAGGCTGTTCCTCGACCTCTCTCAAGACTCAGATGTCAGCTACATAGTGAGACTGTCCCTGTCCATCTACGTAAAATAATCTTCTGTAGTTTATTTTTCTTCTTTTATCTCCACCTGATATACTATTTATTTTATATAATGATCTTGTTAATTATCTACCCCCATGAAATATAAATCCTATGAGACACGAACTTTTTTTTTTTTTTTTGGTTTTTGGTTTTTTCTTTCCTAAAGCAAGTTTTCTTTCTCCCATTGATTCCATCAAAGACACTTTTTCTCATGGGGAAGTGATGGGGATTGGTACAATTTTTTCACTGAAGCCCCTGCCCCTACCCCACTCCCAGTGGCTGGCTAGATTGGCTCCTGGTTTCCAGCTTTACCCACTGGAGCGTCTGTGACAGAGCCCCTGCACCAAGCTCCTTTTGTCCTCCAAGGGCTCCTCCACCTGGTTCCGAAGCAGCAGGTGTCCGACCTCCTGTCTCACCTCCATGGAGTCTTACTGGTTCTGACAGTCACTTCACTGCTGAACTCTACTGTGCATCGTGGAGAGTAGAGTTGTGTTCACTGTCATATTTTCAGTCCCTAAAACTGGAAGACAAAAATGAATTGCATTTCAAGTGTGCATAATTGTCTTTATATGTTATAATGGTCTTTACATGTTAGATGATTGTGCCTAGAAACATTGTGAGGGAAACAATTTTCTCTGATTTCCCAAATAATTTGTTTCTAATTTCAATTAGATATTTTACTTCCAATGACCAATGTATGCAAAAATAAGAGACTTGGGCAAAGAATATTTCTTCTTTTCTTTCTAAGAAAGCAGGATTGCAGGATGGATTGTCTGGCAATATCTCTATAGTGTGAAATTTTTTCTTAATTTTTTCCTTGCATCTAAATGAAATTTTTGAATTTAGACATTATTGTCAGGTTGAGGGTTGTAACCTGGAAGTTTTTATTGGTATCTAGCTTTTCCTCCTCATTAGTCTTTCTGGAATTC